CTTGTCCCTTAAAGTAGTTTACCTTGTCAAAGAAGGAGATGAGAACTGTTTCATGTGAGCTATTTTTTGACAAACCTGTGCTGACTGTTAGCAACTACAGCATTGTCTTCAAGGTGCTTACAAATGGTCTGCTTTATTACCTGCTCTAAGATCTTTCCAGCTATTGATGTTAGGTTCAATAATTACTGGGATCCTCTTTTTTTCTTTGCTTGCTCTTCTTCAGACCTCTGGCACTTCCCCAGTTTTCCAGGACACCTTAAAGATAATTGACAGAGGTCTTAACAACTCTTTAGCCAATTCCTTCAGTATTCTAGGGTGTATTTCCTCAGGGCCTGAAGATCTGAAACCATTCAAATTACCTAGAAGATCATTTACCATGTCACTATGGACCTATATCCACCCCTTTGTCTCCAAGGGTCAGAAATGAAGGAATGAGGTCTGGAAGGCAAAGGTAGAAAACAAGCTAAGGCTAGCAAAATCCAGCAAGAAGGAAGACCAAGAGAAAAGAAGTAGTGATTTGAGTAGCATAAACTAGAAACAGTTTATGCTATTCAAATCACCACTTATTTTGGACACAAGATAATAATTATTCATCTGCTTTTTCTTGGTTATCTGTTAAGCTTTCACCATCTGGATTAAGCAGTGAATTTAAAGATAATGCCTCCTTTGTCTTCCCCCATTGTTGATGTATTTTTTTAAAAAAAATCCTTCCTGCTGGATTTAGTCCTGGCTGATTTTCTGCCTTTGCCTTCCAGACTTCATTCTTCATTTCTGACCTGAAGCTTTGTAGGCATCCTTGGTTGTTAGCCCATCCTTCCATTTCCAATAAGCATCCTTTTTCAATCTTAACTCTTTTGTGAGTTACCTATTTAACTACATTGGCTTTTTTAGAATTAAAAAAAAAATCACAGTTTTATATCTCACTGGTATTGTTTGAGACTGTGCTATCCTTAATTTCCTTTTCAAGAAGTCTCAGCCAGCTGCACCACCTTTTCATTTAAAGTGTTCTTCTCATGGCATCTTCTTTATTAAACTTCTATAGTTTAATAAAATCAGTTAATAAAATCCATGGTTTCAGTTTGATAGTTTTATCAATTTTTTTTTGTTAAAAATCACCTCTAACAATGTGTGGGCATTGCATCCAAAGTTTCCATTACTTTAATATCTTCAATCAACTCTTCCCTGTTACTAAGGATCAAATCCAAGATAGCAGATCCCCTAGTATGCACCCCAACCTTAAGAAAGAGAAAATGACTGCCAACTCAAATAAGACATCACCTAGTGTCTTGTGTTTGACAAAATTAGTTGTTTAAGTAGATGTTCAAGTAGGTGAAATCTCCCATTGCAACCATTTTATGGTTTTCTGGTGTTAATAAATCTTCATGTACTTTCTCTGACTGTTTTTGTGCCTGGGGGAAACTCCTAGCAAGATACCCATTCTGTTACCTTCCCATTTTATCTTAACCTTCCATCATTATTATTACCATCACTCCACTGGACCTCTGTACAGATACATTCTTTCTGTTATATAACACAACACCACCTCCTCCTGTAACATGTTTCTCCCCACCACCACTTGTAACATGTGATATGTTGCATTTATAGAATTAGGAAAACTGTCAGCCTTTAAAAGATGACTTTCAGCTTTCCTCCAGTTAGATTACAGAAACAAGAAAGCCGAAATAGTTGAGTACTTTCCCTTAAAAAAAAATAAAAAAATCAGCAGCTTAGCTAGGGGACTAATTAACACACTGCTTTATCCCAACAGTATAAGTTTACTTGTGCTGGTATCTCCCATAGGCTGTGAACCAAAAACCCACACAAATTGTTTTTATACCTGGAAAGATTTGGGGATTTCATTTCTCTGTCAGCATCCTTATTCCATTCCCATGTTGCACATCCATATCCTTTTGAAACTGAACAGGCTTAGAGATCAGCTCTTGGTAGATCACAACGCTATAGTGTTTGAAAGCCAAAAAAAAGGAGTAGAAAATCCTTCTGAGGGCATCTAAGCTCTCATATATGTTAAAAATAAGCTGTGTGGATGCTGGGCATGGTAAAGTACAGAAATGTAACCCCATAAGAAGCCACAGTCTTTACCCAACTGGATCAAAATGTAATCAAAGCAACCTGCTGTACAGTTTAGCTCAAAAGCTGCCAGGTAAGATCATATCATTTTAGAGCCATTTTTAAAGAATGCATTACAAACAAGTTTTATAGATCTAATTAGACTGCTTTTTAAAACTCCCCAATGTTTCTATGTAACACAAAGCAGACTTTTTTTTATTAGGTTTTTCTCTGGATATTACCATGTAGACACAATATTTAATTGTTATTATTTTAACCTATGGGCCATGGCAAATCTGAATGAAGATAGAAAAAAGAATATTGCATGTAGTATTGAAATCTGATTACTGAGTCTAGTTTTTCTCCCATTCTCCCATTTGCTTCCCTTCCATTAGTGCAGCCATGAGAAGATAACGAGAAGTTTTCATTTTCGTTTTGTGTTCTGAAAATCTTCGGTATAATATGGCATATGAATCTAAACTATAGTTAACTTCATTGTGTAAAATCTAGCTAATTTCATAACGCATTGCATAACATTGGTTTGTTCCAACCAAACTATAGATAAGGTTAACATAGCCAGTTGAATTTGGATAGGACTAGAAGGCAGCAAAGAGGTACAGAAAACTGTAACTCTTTGCTTCCATCTAGCAGTGATTCAGATTGTGGCAGCCTTGAGAAAATAGTCTTAATTATGGACAACACGACAAGTTGTGATTTTATTTATTTATTTCAAGCATTTACATAGCCACCCAGCTTGTACCAAACTCTGGGTGGCTCACAACCAAGAGATAAAATAACATCTATTTGCAATAAAAAATATTAAAACCAACAAAAATTTAAACCCAAGGACCTAGCACCATAGCTTAACTTCCATGCAGCCCACTACAAGTACATCTTACAATCTCTCCCTATCCCAGTGCTTGGGGAAAAAGCCAGGTCTTAAGAGCTTTTTGGAGGGTTAAAAGGGTGGGAGCCTGCCGAACTTCAGGGGGAAGAGTGTTCCAAAGGGCAGGGGCTGCCATGGAGAAGGCACGCTTCCTAGGCCCCGTAAGATGGCAACATTTAAGGGAGAGGACTAGGAGTGTGCCCACCCTACCCAATCTCATAGGATGGACAGATGTGCTTAGGGAGAGGCAGTCCACAAATAACCTGGTCCTGTGCCATTTGAGCTTTAAAGGTAATAAACAGCACCCTGCATTGCACCTGGAAGGAAACTGGGAGCCAGTGCAGCTCACACAGAAGAGGTACAATGTGGGTGAACCTAGGGGCACCCATTACTGTGCACACCACTGCATTCAGTGGACCAGTTGTAACTTCTGGGTGGTCTTCCGGGTGAACAGCACATTACAGTAATCTAAACAGGAAGTGAGCAAGGCATGAGTGACCATGAGCAACGCTTCCCAGTCCAGGAAAGGGCACAATTGGTGCACAAGATGAATCTGTGCAAAAGCCTCCCAGCCATGGCTGCCACCTGCTCCTTGAGCAGGAGCCACAAGTCTAGGGGGACCTCCAAATTGTGCACCAGCTGTATGTATTCAATGTCTGCATGCATTCAATGATATATATATATACACTGTGTATGGCTACATCCATGCTAAATCCTAAAACCAGGTAGACATAACACAATTCTGTGTCTAAACAAATAAACCATACTGAAGTTGAAGAGAATAGCCAATGTACCCAATGATCTAAGGCTTGATTCCCACAACAAACTACCCATCCCCATTTTTCCAGCTTTAATGCATTATGTGAACCTGGTATACATGTGGAGTCCTTGGGGTTCTCTGAGCTTGGTTCTTTTCTTACAAATGTTTCATTATCCGGCTAGGTAACATCTTCAGTGCACATTACCTAGCCTGGTAATGAAATGTCTGCAAGAAAAGAACCAAGCTCAGAGAACCCCAAGAACTCCACAGTTCAACCCTGAGCTACACATATTTACCTCTGTGGGTACCTGGTATACATATGCAACTTAGCACAGATTTTATTCTTGAAAATTTCAGTCCCTATTTCATTTTTTTTAAAATACATTTTAATGAGCAAGTTTCTAGCAAAGCTAGTTGGTTTAAGCAAGAGAATTACAGAAAGGAAAATCACCAATGAGGCTTTTGTTTTTTATGGAAGCCTTTTATCCACAGATCTCATATTAACCCCCCAAACAGCTTTTTAAAACTCTTTGATATGTATTTTCAGGTCTGTGGAGGAAGCCACTAAAAAGGTAACTGGGAACAGAGATATCTGTTTTGTATTTTGGATCATGGCCATGGTTGGCACCTTGTAAGCAAGCTTCCCCCATCCCCCACCCCATAGACACTAATCACAATTTTTTCCCCCCACAGGTTCTCAGATGCTGCAGAACAAAACCTCTGACAAACATATGAGGTCTGCAGCTAATTCTGAAGCTGAAAACTGCAATGCTATAACTAGACTTGTCTTCTTGGAGAGTAGGAATATTTCAGCTACAGGTACAAGATAAGCTCTTTTTGATAATCCCCTGCTTCATTTTTCTGAGGCCCAGATCATATAATGCTCCTTGGAGTGAGGTGATATGTGGCCTAACCGATATTTTAAAAAGGGAATAGTAACCAAACAGATTAGTGAAGGCAGGAGAGGTTTTGAGATCTATCTTCTCATCATCTTATCTTTCTTCTTCAGAGAAAGGAATAAAGGATTTTGGTCATGAAACAGATGAACTACCTCACTTTCTCTTGTCTTCTGGCATGTGTGAACTTTTTTCTTCAGCTCTGATTTATGATTCAAGCAGTGTGGTTGCATTACAGATTTATATAATGAAGTTATACAAATAGCATTTTTATTTTCAATCATCTTCCTCACAGTTCCAATACTTTTCATCCTGTATTTGTGATTACATTACTGTGGCATTGTTTTATACAGTGTATGTACAACTTCTGGCAGCTGGATTCAGGTACGAATAAGGTACGAATGCCCCCCCCCAAAGATTTTTTAAGAAATATTGAAACCTCCTTACTTCATCCTACATTTGCACAAGCAGAATAGGTTTATTCATGTTGATAATTAATAAAATTCACCCCCTCAATTTCTAGAATTTACCTTCTCCCAAAATTAAGGTAATCACTTACCAAAATATATAAATATTTCTAAGCAGATCACTCATTTGATTTCTTTTTATTTGAATCAGAACTAAATTGAGCTTGTTATTTAAGGTAAATTCCAAATGAGAAGTCTATAATAAAAGACTCCTTACCCACAGAGTAAGTAAATAAATATTGATTTATGCCTCTGTAAGTCAGTGCAGCACTGCAAGATGTTAAGCCATGATGGAATTTAGGTGAGGTTGGGAGTTTTGCTGCAACTCATCTTGAGAGAATAAAGTAATTTCTCAGCCACTTTTTCTCCAGATGTTTTTTGAATCAAATTATCATTGTTTCCCTCTAAGGTAAATTGGAATCTTTTTACAGATTTATGTGCAATGATTTGGGAAATGTGTTGCTTTAAGGATTATTTAGGGTTCTTTGGTGTCCATAAAGTACATAAAACTGACAAGAGGAACTTTAGTTTGCCAAAGTAAAAACCATTTATATGAAGATTTACAATCCCATGTACAAGTTTTGCAAATAGAAAATAAAAAGTCTTGGAAACAGGTTTCCAAGGCTTAATTTCTTATTGTGATAGCTTCTCTCAGTGTGAGAACGCTATGGATTGCTCCATATTTCACTGCTGGTGGAAAGCTGCAATATTAAAAGGAAGACTAAAAGCCACACAGACAACATACACATCTAGCAAGTTTCACATGCAGTAGAAATGGCTTCTGATGAGGAAAGAACTGCTGTATTTAGAAAGTTAAACCAAGGGAGCAATGCACAGTTCTATTTTACTGTTCTCAGAAAGAACATGTAAGAGAACACTTCAAGATTAAGGTTTTAATCCTGTAAGTATTTGTATAAACAGAATAGCTCCATTCATGGGACAAAATGCAACTGCTTTAATTTAGTGGGACTTATTTCCAGGTATAAATGCATAGAAATATAAGTTAGGAAGTTTATGGTTCAAAGTATTATACAAATCCAGAAAATAGGTTTATTCAGTATCCAGGTTAATCATGTTCTGTGAAAGTTGCCAGCTAGTTTTATACCTGAACTCAGTTTTCACTGATTCTAAGTCTGCTGGCCAGTTTTTCCCCACCTGCTACCCTCTAGATGTGGTGGAATACCACCCCTATAGCCCTCAGCCAATGAAGGAATGATGGGATTTATGGTCTCACACATCTGGATGGCACTGGGTTGTGTTATGCAACAATGGCTCTCATAGGCATTTTTATCTCTCCTTTAAATAAGCTTAGAACTTCATCTCAGTGGTGAAAAGTTTTAACTATAGAAGGACTTGGTTAATTTCTTATCAAAGATCCCAGAGACATTATAGAGACTTGCATGGCAAATCATAGTTGGCTAGATGAAGTAATGACTTGTATTCTAAGACATCCATCTTCCTTAAATAAACATCCATGGATGCATTTTTGATGGCTAAGAGTCATATTTAACATTTTTAGATGGCTGAGGGCCTCCATGGTCAGGGTGAGGATGCAAACTGGTTGGACCCAGGGTTTTCAGGCAATCTTCCTTTCCTTGAGGAGAATTGGGGCGGGGGGAGTCTTTGTTTTCAAAACCTTGTGGAATCTAAAAAGTTTGAGTATTCCCCATCTTAGAATGCCATGAAAATATTTTATCAGTTTTCATTAATTGTCCTCCAAGATTGTTTAAGAGGTGCACAAAATAGAGGTTCTGGAACAGCATGCAGCCCCAGAGTCTTGGGTTGCCCAAATAATCAATTTCTTGGGTCTGTATTTGATCCAAGCATCATAGTTTGGGATTAGATCCACCTTCCTTATGCCTCCCTGTTTTCATGTTTTAGATGGAGCCAACCTTGTGTCTTGTGGAGGTGCTGGTTGGGTCCGGTTTTGGAATATACAAAGAAGCAAGCTACTGGCAGAATTTGAAGCTCACAGTGGAGTAGGATCTATTATTATGACAACTGATACACAAAACCAGTACCTCATCACAGCAGATCTGGTTGGGTGGGTGAAAATATGGGACATAGAGGTAAGAGGAAGGATTTCTACATTGACTTGATGGAGGTAAAGCAAGCAAACACATGCATATACATATACACATACACACACAAGTGAATACATACATACATAATGCTCAGATCCTACCATGTTCTTTATGTGGAACATATAGTTTAAGATCAGTTCTACAAAATGCAATACAATTGCTCAGGAGGTTTTTTTAAAAAATCTTAATTGCATTCAAATTTCTGTCCCAGTTCTTGATCATGACATTTGAACCAAGGTTTCCCTGACCAAAGGTCCAGTGCTAGTCATATCAGGCCTCCCTTATCTGGCACATCCCAGCACTGGACCCATTTGTGGAAGAGAGACCCAACTGAGATAAGCTGCACTGGCAGAACCAATAGCTTGACTAAATATGAGTTTCATATTTTGCAAATATGTACCCATCCTTAAAATTTGCATATTTTAATCTTAGACCTGTGTGCTTAACCATGACCTGTTTAACCATGGTTTATTGATTAAGCTACCACAAACTGAGTTCATATGTTTAGAAACCACTAGGTCTGGGTTCATAGCACATGCTAAGCTAAAACCAAGCCAACCATGTTACAGTTTAGCGTGATTTATGAATCCTATTTGGGCATTATACTTATGAAGACGTCCAAAAGGTGAGCAAGCCCGCAACAAATATCTCACATGCTGCATAGTCTCTCCCTTTGTACCTTTTTCTGGTACCCTTTTCCTCTTCCTCACTCTAGGGAAGTGATAAAAAGCTCTTGAGAGAGCTGAAGTGATCTCTTGTGTAAGTAGGATAAAGACAACCTCAAGCTGAGTTCCACTCTTGGTGTTTGCCTGCATGCAGCTTCCCTGGCATTCTTGCAGAAGTGGTTGGCCGTTATCTTCTTCTGGATTAATTGATTGATAGATTGATTGCTCTGAGATATCCTAGTCTAGCTTACACCAGGTATTTAAATTAATCTGAGGGCTATATGCTGCCAACTTTGGTATACCTGAAGACTGTCAAACTGAGAAGGGTATATTTATATAGCCTTACTAACTATCTGCGGTCACATGTTAGACAAGCCCTCTTAACCAACTTTAAATTGGCAACATAGTTAAAAACAAACCCAAACCCAAAGCTATTGCTACACCTTTTATTTTCCTGTGGTTACATCACTTCTCTCTTTTTTTCCTGCTCAACATCAGGACTATTGCCTTGCCCTGGGAGAAAACATCATAACACAGCCACCTTCTCTGTTGAGATCATTTCAGGCACACGAAGACTGCATTACTAGCCTGGAGTCTTGTCTGCAAAACAACTGTCTTTTTATCGTGACATCCTCAACAGACCGTAGCATTGTTCTCACGGACATTTCTGGTATTCCATTTGGGATATTTGGACAGGTAGTTTGCCATTGTGTTTCCTCACCACTGCATAAATTATCATAATTTAAGTATAAGAGGTTGTCCATGATTGTGCAGAAAGCATTCCATAGGGGAATATATCTCTATCATCCATAGAGGGAGGAGGGAGGGAGAGAGAGAGACAAAACTATATAACTATATTATCCCTGTCAGAAGCCCATCTTTCTATATTCTTCTGAACTGTTCCCATGGTAGAGAATGCACCCCCGAGAAAAGTTGTGTTTGATCCCTATTGTCTTAGCATTTGAAAAATGCATAAATACACATTGGTTCCACCAGTCTTATAATGCTAGCACTTATTTTACTATTCTTAACCTGTGCTTTCTAAAGTTTTCATATTTTGTTTGTGTTTGATTTATTTATCACATTTGTATCCCGCTTGCATTTTGAACAGCTCAAATTCTTCCTCCTCCTTTTTTCCCCACAACAAAAACCTTGTGGGGTGGGCTGAACTGAGACAGAGTGCCTGGCCCACAGTCACCCAGCTGGCTTTCACACCTAAGGGAGGACTAGATCTCACAGACTCCCAGTTTCTAGTCTAATACCAATATCAAAGCCCTTGAGTATACAGCAAGTCAGTAAAAAAAAGACATTGTGTGCAATGCACCCTCTCCCTTCTCCTCTTCCTCTTCCTCTTCCCCCTCCTTACCTGTGGTGCAAATACATACAGTGACAGCTCCCAGGGATTTGGTATGTATCCCCTTCAAATAAGCTGAAGGTGACATTTGACATTTCAGGGAACTAAAAGCTTTTCTTGGAACACAGATAACTCAACAAAATAATTGGATGAGCAGTAATTTGTCTAAAGAAAGTGGTGAGCCTATGAGGCTGTGATATTTTGAAGGTGCAATGGAGGCTGATTTACATTTTTGACCTTACCTTTAATGCTTTCCTTGTTTGACTGTCTGCTTTTAGACCATTAAAGAGCAAGTCAAATGTTGAGATAAGGAGCTTGCACTTATTTAGATCAATTTGAATCAGTTTTATTACTGGATTGTTCCAAATTCCCTTGTTTGGAAAACTTAATAGCTGGCATATTTTAAAGCTTCCACCGATGCAAAAATGAGAAAAAATGTATCATTGACAAATCAGACATAAAGATCATTCATGTCATTTCCTGAAATATTCAAAAGCGGAGTAGGTATTAAAAGCATCTGGCCCATAAGGAAGGAGGAAAGGAAAATGCAAATTCTATAGGGAACAGGGTGCAATGCAACAGGTAATGCAGTACACAGTGCGCTAGCTATTGCATCACCATCCATCACAGGTAAAACCACTGGCTGTATGCTGTGCATAGTGCAACAATCATCACTCCACCTCCAGTTCCAGGATCTGTTCTATATTTCAGACATACAGTAAGAAGTTGAGAATATCAAAAATGGGAAGAAAATAAAGAGGAAAAAATCATCTCAAAGTTATCTCGTTCTTATGACCTCTTAGGTCAGTGTTGTCCAAACTTGGCCACTTTAAGATGAGTGGACTTCAACTCCCAGAATTCTGGGAGTTGAAGTCCACTCATCTTAAAGTGGCCAAGTTTGGACAACACTGTCTTAGGTCATAAATCCAATCAATTTTTTTACAAGGCTGCATCAGAACTGGCATGATACTAGCAATACCTCAACACCCCTATTCATGAACTCAGCACATTTAAGGCACCTCTCATGAAGGGAGGTGGCAGATCAGCAGCTCCTGGCTGTCAGTGAAGCAGAAGCCTGCTCAGTGCAAGGAGGTCATCATACAGAGGAGCTGAGAAGCAGATTTCTTCCAATATATCCAATATTTCTCTATGACTCACTTTTCTAATAAGCTGTGAAATCCCAAGTATAATAACCTTTTCTCAACATTTCAGTTGCCCTTTCTAGCAATACCATCTCTTCTTGAGGTGCAGTGATTAAACCAATGCGGAGCACCTTGACTGTGCTCTACCCCTTGAGTTCAACTGTTATCACATGACCAAAAAAAAAAAATACTTACGAAGATTTATTGAAAAGACCACAACAGAAATAATAATAATAATAATAATAATAATAATAATAATAATAATAATAATAATAATAATATACAGTATTGTTCCTTTCATGCATTCCTTAGGTATCTGCTTTTCTCAAAACCACTCCATTTACATTAAATAGAAGCATGCTCCACCCTCGGGTGTATCTGCTGCTTTCCCAGGATTTCATGACAATGATGGAAGTCAGACTATTCTTATGTAAAGTACCATAGAAACAGGTCCTAAAAACGTCAGGGAGGAATGAGTTTCCCACACTGGACAAAGAATTCATGAACAAGTTCTGTTAGGTCATAAGAAGAAGAAGCTTGCTAACAAACAGCAACAAAGGCAGAATATCTGCTTGAAACGCCTTGCAGTGAATTGGAAATGGAATCCAACAAGAGTATTTAACTGACTCATAGAGGACAGGTTGGCTGGTACATCTGCCGTGCAATTCCTGAATCTCAGCTTATTGAATCAGGCATTTAATCCTGATTAAACTAGACGCTAAACTTTTTTGGGGGGGCTGCCTTCAAGTCATTATGGACTCTTGGTGACTTCCTGGACAAGTCCATGCAGTTTTCTTGACAGCATTTTTGGAAGTGGTTTGTCATTGCCTTCTTCCTAGGGCTGAGAGACAGTGACTACCCCGAAGTCACCCAAATAGCTTTGTGCCTAAAGAAGGCCTAGAATTCATGGTTTCCCAGTTTCTAGCACGGGGCCTATAACCACTGCACCAAACTGGCTTTCAGATGTTAAACTAGCTCCCCCTAAACTAACTTTCTCTGATCAGCTAACTCACCTCATGTCATCTAAACTCTTTGCCTGAGGATTAATCCCTTCCAACATCCATGACTGAGCCACTGGATCACATTTGCTTTGAATACCTATTTTTAGCAGTCTCGTGAGGCTAAAAACAGGCATTTTTGTAGTATCAATCCCAGTTGCTCCATCATGGAATTATTATTTTCCCCTCTTGAGGGAGGAGCATAAAAAAAGCAGGAAGTGGGGAGGGAACTGGGGAGGTAAAATGTTTTCTGAAAATGAGAGAGAATGAGAGAGAAAGAGAAGGAGGAGGAGGAGGAGGTATCTTAAAAAAATATCTGAAAGAAATAATAGTTGCATCTGTTTAACCATGGTTTCATCTTCATCTTGCTTTGGCCACATTACTCACTGGCAGCCTCCAAAGACTGATCCTGTGGCAATGAAGCCCCCAATAGAAACACATTGCCCAATCCATCTTAAACAATTTCTGTATTTCCTTTTCTTAGCCTCTCATGGCTTATCACATCAATTCTTTCTTAATCTTTCCTGTATTGTACCGATAGGCTGTTTGCAACACTGAAGGTCCACTTTGTCCTTTAGGATATGACACTTTTATCTCGTAAAAGATAATACAAAAGGGAAAGTTTTCTCTTGTTATAGAAGGCCTATAAAAGATTATCAAGGAGGGATCAATATAAGATTTTTAGGAAGATAATACCATAGGATAGTTGCTGTGTTTTCTTTCTTACCACTTTAGATTCCAAAGAAGAAGGCGAAAGAGTGAGCCAGGGCTGTCTTCCAAAGTTCACAGATGATATCTCTTTGATATGTCCTTTACGCTATGATCTTTTTTTAGGAGGAACACTGGAGAATTGGAAATCATGTTCCATTCTTCCCCAAAGAAGAAAATGATGCCCAAAGAGAAAAGGAGAATGATGTTACAAAGAACAACTCTGTACAATTTGTTGAAGACAATGCTCCCCCTAATACTGTGGAACAAACTCTGTCTGTTACAGAGGATGAAGACAACTTTACATACATGTAGGTAATGTCTCTGAAAGCTGATGTAAAGTGACATATTTTTGAGAGAGTAAGCCAAAGTGTTTCATTATTCGAAGTTTTGTTTCTCAGGAAATATTATAATAGGTTTGTCCAGGAAATGAGTATTTTTCCAGAATCCCTAAATACCATATTTTTCCTTTTTGTTTCAAGTCAGAAAGATTTGATAGAGAAATATTGGAAGATAGATCTGTGTGTACCACATTGCTAAACTGCTTTTGAGAGAAAATGGTTGAAAGATAGTTTTGGGTGTTCCATACTGTTCAGTCTCTTCAGGTCATCTCCTGTCCTTAGGCACAG